ACTGAGAGCTAATAGCACGAGCCTCACTCCCTCCCTCCTTCCTTTCTTTTTTCCTGCAGTTGAGTCTTCGGGGTGCTCTTGTCTCCCTAGAGGGATATACATAGGGAAACCAATGTTACCCACAGCTTGGACCCTCCCCATTGGGTCCCTCCAGGAGGCAGGACAGGGGAATGATGTGATCTGGTGTGAGATGAGGGGCCTGGACTGTAAGTCCCCAGTCTATGTTCCTAGCAAGGCCTGAGGCTGCCAGTTAAACTTGTACCAGTGTCCCCTTCGCCACCAAAAAAAGCAAACAAACATAAAACAAGCAACAAAGGGTGTATTCGTAAATGTACTTGATTCTCATTCGGGGGCAGCTCCTGGAGTTTGGACAGCAGGTGAGTGTGTGTGTGTGTGTGTGTGTGTGTGTGTGTGTGTGTGTGTGTGTGTGTGTGTGTGTGTCTGCATGGTTGTGTGCAAGTACAGGGGCTTGGACTCCTGGAACTGGGAGGAGGGCACCTTGGCTCCGGGGTACCAAGGCTGGGGAGAAGTGCCTTGGTTGCAGAGAGGGTGGCTTCACTTGGGGGAGGGTGCCTTAACTGCAAGAGGGTGCCTTGGCTACAGGGATGGTGACCTCACTGGGGGAGAGCCTCAGCTACAGGGACAGTGCCTTCACTCCGGAGTGGGTGCCTTCACCGCAGGGAGGGTGCCTTGGCTGGGTAGAAGGCAGGAGGGAGTCTGATGGGAAGAGGACTACAGAAGAGGAGGGGAGGTGGGGGGGTCTCAGGGGGGGTGGAGAAGGGAGGAGGTGTAGTGGGGGGGAGGGTGTTGGCTTCATGCTGTTACTAGTTTGATTTATCCCTAATGAGTTCTCAGCACATGGCTGCTCTCGGCTCACTCCAGGGGCCAGTCGGCCCGCCCCAACTCCGCAGCCACAGCCGCCGCTCGCTCAGAAAGAGCCAATTTCCACACTGCACAGTCCGCTTCACTCATGGGGAAATCACATTTCCCCGGGAGAGCTGCAGGCAGTGCTTCACTCCACAGCCTGGCTGGCTGCCACCGGGCACAGATGCCAGGGAGCTGGGCCCCCACCTCCCCTTCCCGCCCCCTAGAAGCCCACTTGACGCCTCTCGCAAGGCCTGGGCCCCCTTGCTCCAAATCTCTGGGCAGTCTCTCCACCTCGAGCCTTACTCTGCTACTTCCTAAGGGGAGGAGAAAGGGTGGGTCCAGAGGACACTGACCACAAGGGGTGGGGGAGAGCTGTCCACCCTGCTTACCTCCTCCAGCTTCTTCCAGGAAGGAGAACCAGGCACCCTGATTCTGTTTGTGGGGTGTGGAGTTGCAGGGATGGGGTTGATGATGGTGGTGTGTTTGTACCGGAGTGGGGAGCCATGGGGGTGGGTGTTTGCCTCTCAGGAGGTAATGACTGCCACTGTCTGTGTTCCAGAGGTCCCCAAAGAGCCAAAGGAGCAGAATAAAGTAATGAGAAGAGCAAGAAACCAAAGACAGGGTCAAAGGGAGAGGGAGAAGAGATGCTTCCTGGCATCTCCTGAACTCATTAAGGACCTTCGAGCTCTTCCCAAATATCCCCAACATTCCCTCCCCCAACCTCCCACAGCTCTGAAACATCTCTGACAAGGAAGGAATAATTGCTTCAGACTCAGCAGAGAAGTAAGGGATGCAAGAACCTAAAAGAAGTGGGAAAACGAAGGACAAAGAGAGGAGGTTATCTCTATGGGATGGCAGGGTTTTTCTATCAGTATAGTCACAGTCAGACATCAGAAGGTGACACAGCATCCTGGGACAGAGGATCCATCAGCTTCCCTACAGCAGATGAAAATTCTTTATGATCTTCAAGGTTGGAGAGGGCAGCTTGGAGCCAAGGATTTGGGGTCAAGGATGAATGGGGCATCTGGAATCAGCCGGGCATGGCTCAGCCCAGCCCAGTGCTCCTTCTCTGGCCTCTAGATATTGTGTTCAGCCCGTGCCAACTTGGGAATGTGTGCCAGTACCCTAACTGGCCCAGTAACTTCTGTCTTTCCCTACAGAGTGAGAGATGTCTCAGGATCTCTGCAAAAGCCTGGCTACATCCGGATATCTAAGGCCTTAGAATAGGATGTAGATTAGGCCTCAGGTTAGGGTTCAGGCTGTGGTCCCATGTTTTCTACTGACTAGCTGAATGACTTTCAGAAAGTCAGGTCATCTCTTAGTCTCAGCTTCCCAAGTGCAAAACAAAGTGGGGTCAATAATCAAAATTTGAGACATAAAGATATGTGAATGAGCTTTATACACAGCTTTCTATAAAGGTTAAAGGGTTATTATAACTTCCGAGGCTGAGAGAGGCCAGAGAGGGGTGTTTAGAAGTGGGTGAAGTAGGGGCCTCTGAGGGAGCCACAGTCCCCGACGGCCTTCTTCTGCCCCTGATTGACAGGTTGATGCTGAAGCACAGGCCCACTGATGGTGGCACTGAGGTTTCCAGTCCCTTCTCCTCCTGTGCCCACCCTCAGAGGACCAGGACAATGTGAATTATCTTAAATAAGATATATGTTGATATGTATGGGAAAAGGTGTGCGAATTGTGGATGATGGAGACAGCAGGGAAATGACAAGAAAAGGTGGGAGTGCGGAAACCTTAGCAAGGGCCTCAACCTCTCTGGCCTCCTGTTGCCCCATCTGGAGATTGTGGCCACCAACCCCCTCACCTGTTTGTCATCAGAGTTGAGTGTGTGCCTGGCACATGGTGGGACAGAAACTACAAGTTTCTTGGTCATAACTCATGGCAAGAATATTGGAGAAGTGAGAGAAGGTAGGACAAGGGGAGACACTGGAACTAACCTGGGGGCTGGCCTGGCAGGTGGGGACTCCCAGTTCTCCCCAGTCCCACCCCTGGAACTGCGGGGTGGGGACCACAAGGTCACAGATGTTCTGCCCATCTGATGGGTCCCTGACAGGGTTTCAGCTACTCCATCTCTGTTGCCTGGCACATCTATATGCCTTTCCTGCAAGCTCTTAGTACCCTGGGCTGGCCTGGCCAGTGCTGGGATGCTAAGACCCACAGAGGAGGGGTAAGAGTTCCACCAAGGAGAGCTTCCTGGAAGGCTAAGATAGTCTCTCCACACAGGCCGTGAAAGGGATTGTCCCAAGTGCAATTGCAAGGGGCAGGGGTTGGGGGTACTTGGGACCTTGGGAATGTCTCAGGCCTATATCTCACTCCCAATTCTCCTGCCAACACATGCTACTTCCACAGGGCCTCTGCACAGTAAAGCAACCCCCCTTCATGTACAGCCACCCACAGAGGCTTCCCTCACTCCCGCAGTGAGGGAAGTGCTCACCCTGGGCAGCCTCCCATGTCCTCCCTGTCCTTGTCCTCATATCCCTTCTTTATCACATCCCAACTCATGACCCACTCTGACTTCTCTCAACATCATTCTCAAGGCTGGGGCATCTCAAATCTCTCTCTTGTCCAGTCCATGAATGACTGTATTTTCCACGCTTAAGGGGGAACCTGTGGTTTGACTATGGAGAGAATATCTGCATAGGTACTAGCCAGGGCCTGCAGCACTTGGGCCACACCATACAGTTACCAAACATTCACTCTGAGCAGGGCAATAGCAAAGCCCAAGTTTCGTTTACATTTGTGAGTTGGATAAGTCTGCCAGGGGCACTGAGTGTCTCCAGAGGGGTTTCGGCTATGAGTGCAAAGGGTGGCTGTGTAGGCTGTGTAGGCTTCTTGGGATGCCATGCTTCTTGAAGTGATTCTTGGGTGGGGTGTTTATTGTGGCCCCAGAATCTCATGGGGAGTAGGCTTAAGGCACTCAGGAACCCCAAAATTTGGGAGCATGAAAAGTATCAGACATAATGGGTATCAGAGTCCCATTGCTGAAGGAGGTCCTGTCATTGAAAAACCAACCTCATTTCAGATCCCCTCACAAGAGATGGGGATGGATTTTATGAGAAGTTTCCCTCCATGGCTCAGGTATTCTCATGGTATCCCTGGCCTCTCCTTTGGGAGGCCTAAGGCAGTAAGAGCCCTGTCTCTCAGCCTCTTTCTCTCAGTCTTGAAGTCCCTAGCCCCCTTCCACCTTACTCAGTTCCAGTGTTGCCTGCCCAGCAGTCCACATTTACCTGGACACATAGGCTTCAGACCCTGTTCCTTGGAGAGAGTCCATGTGGATATCAAGCAGCCTCCTGTAAGCAGGTGCTCTGTGGAGGGCAGAGCCCAAGCTGTCACATTGTATTTCATCCCTTGTTCTTCCAAATTTCCTGGAGGGGGTTATCCTATGTCTTTGCAGCCTTCCTCGCCCCCTCCTGGTCCACAGTACCGTACTTTTCTATTGCCCAGCTAGGTCAAATCATTAGAACCAAACCAAAAGAAATGAGATCCTCAGTGGTTCCCCTGGACCAAGAACCTTCTGGAACCCTGGATGAGGACCCTGAGGTGTGGGGTAGAAGTGTTGGACTTGGGGTAAGAGGACTTGGTTGAATCTACTACTTCCCATTCTGGGCAAGCCATTTCATTTTTTCTAAGCCTCAGTTTCTCCTTATGTAAAATGGTGCTGATTTCAACTTAAATGAAGCTCTCCACGTGGTGACTGGCACACAGAAGCACACAGTCTTATCCTTCCCCTCCTCTCACACCACAGGGGCCTCAAGAGCTATTTATGTGGACTCCAGCTTATAGCTATTTGTAGGTCCTTCACCAACCCACCCCACTGAATCTCTGGCTTCTTTTTAAAAACAGCAGTAGCTACTTATGAGGAGTCTACAATTGGCCCAGTACTGTGCCATCCTTGCATTTACTCAGTGTTGAAGAATTCAGAGCTTGGGATGAGTGATTTACCCAGTGTTAAACATCAATTACAGGCAGAGGGAGAATGCTAGAGTCAGGGCATTGGGACATTAGATGACTTTTTCCAACTTACAGCCCCGAAGTGAGTTTGTCCACAACTCAGCTCTGACATTCTCAGCACAAAGCCCAGTCCCTAGGTGCCTCCTTCCCCGGCCAACCCCAAAGCCTGAGACGAAGAGTAATGGTTTATTGAGTCATGTGGCAATGGTGGGTTGTCTTTAAAAAAGAAAGAAGCATCAAGGAGAGAAGCCCAACATGGCAGAGAGACAATTCACTCAGAGGCCAAAGTCTGGGAGTGGAAAGAGGGAAGCTTGACCCAAACAGAGTTTCATTTACAGTATATACAGTCAGGCCTTGGGGGCAGGAGCTGTGGGGGAGTCAGAGAGGACCCCCCAACTTCTCCCTCCAAGGGGTTGCCTCGGGGTCTCTTCGGTAGCTGGTGGGCTTGAACTGCAGGAAGCACACTTGGCTTGGCAGGAGCTGTGAGGAAGGGAAAGAGGTTCCCCTGCGATTTTGCCTTTCTCTGCCCTGGGCAGAGCCTCACCTCACATGAGAGGCGCCCCAGCCCTCTGGAATGTCTGTCTCAAACTGCCTGAGGCTGGTCTGGCTGATGACAGCAGTCCAAGAGATGCTCCACTGCAGAGAAGTTGGGGTGGTGCTGTGGATTCACAGCAGCAGGCAAAAGGAAGGTCAGCTGATAACCCAGCGGAGTTTCTGATTGATTAAACCCAGCCCTCAGCCCATGCCCAAGAGGGAGGTGTAGGGAGAGCCAAGCAAGTAGAGTTGAAGAGGACAGCCAGAGCCTTGGGTCTGGGGTAGGCGGGAGGCTGAGGGAGTTGACTCCCAGGGTGGCTGGCAGGGAAAGCCTGGGCACTAGGCTGTGACTTGTGGGCTGGAAGGAAGTGCTTATGGTCCATAATTATTAGAGTTGTGTTGACTGACAGAGTCACTGAGGTGTCCTCTGCGCCCCTCAGGCCCAGGTGGGCATCATTTGCCAACCCCCCAGACCCACCAAGCTTCTGGATTGCTCTCTCTTCTCTTCTTTGATGGGCACCAGCTGGGGGCCACATTTCTTCTCCAGTTTTGTCTTTTTCAGCATGGTATGGTTCTCTTTCCTCAGGATTCCTGTCCCTCATTAAGCAGTCTTGGAGGACAGTTTGGCCTTCTTCAAGGTCATCCTGTCGTTCATGGTTCATTTAATTAACCACACAGGGAGTGAGTTGCAATGCTGGATTGTGGTTATTTTTCATGTAATAAATAAAGATTCCTTTGTGTGACTCTCTGAGGCCTGTCCCTGGCCAAGTCCTCCTGTCGTTCAGTCGCTCCCACTGTCCCCATGGCAACTACAGATGGTCAAAGGCCGTGGCGGTGGTGGGTGGTGCACTTGGCCTTGATGTGGAACTGTAATAATATGGGGAACCTGGACACATTTAAAAAAAATAACAACAACACTGCTGGTCAGAAGGGGAAATTGCACCACAGCCTTCCCTGCATCTGCTGACCTTTAAGACAACACAAGTTAATCATTTATTCCTCTGGCCTATCTGATCATCAAAGATTAACTCCTCTCCAGCACTATTTCCTCCTTCTCAGTCCTCACCTTTGAGTTTCTGGCCAGAATAAGTACAGTTGCTTCTTGTCCCTTCCCCCTACGGCTGCTTTGACCTTCAACACCCCCATTGCAGGAAGAGGGCAACAGATAGCAGGTGCATGTGGAACCCCGAAGAAGCAAGGACTCTGGGGTCATGGGATACTCCCCAGCCTTGCTCAAGAAGTGCCAGGTGAGACAATCTTCCCTTTAAGATCCAAGGGGATTAGACTTCCAATAGGTCCAAGGGGATCTGGGTTTGAGGGCCCCCTTGATGAGGCTCTGCATACCTGTGGGGATGGGCAGCCCCAGGGAGGCTTAGTGGGAAGGTGCTCTGACCCCTTGCATGTCTCACCACCCTCAAGCTTTCTGACTAAACTGAAAAGAAAGATGCTTAGAGTTGAACTCATCTGGCAAAGATGAGCCCAGGTCAGCCATCCTCCCAGTTACTTCTGGAACACCAGGAGATAATGGGAAGAGGGGTCTTGGGAGATAATGGGAAGAGGGGTCTTACCAGTCTGCAGTGCTGCCCACAGGCTCAGCCACCCATGGGCCACTGCTCAGTCTGGCTCAGGTTTGCTTTGACATCCCCAAGGCCACTACCCAGGGAGGCTCTAGTGGGATCCCTCAAATACCCCCATTTGTGGGACTTCTTTCCTGAAAAGCTTCTCTTCCCAGCCAGGGCCCCAGGACAAGAGAGGGGTGAACAGCAGCCTGGAAGCTCATTTTCTGGACCTCGACCCTGAACGCTGTCCTCATTTCAAGCCAAAAACAGGGAATGTGGTGGAACAAAGGATTTCTGCGTAAGGGTTTTGGTGCTGAATCATGAGTATTTGTGAGCCACTTAGATGGTTAATGGGGGACAACAGGATGGCATTCTTGCAATCGGCTCCCAGGAAGGAGGGAGCTGCATGCTGGCGGGGTGCCATGTGCCAGTGTCTGCTGTTGTTGGACTGTAAACCCTGGAAACAGGAGATCCTGTCTCAGGCTTTTCTCGACTAAACTCCTGACCTTTTTTTCAACACTCGTGCCATGAATATTACACAAAACACAGATTTAATGAACATGGCTTTGGGGAGCAGCGGGAGAGACCAATACTAGGGAGTCACTGGCCTTCTGTTTCCTTTCCCCAAGCAACCAGGTACACTGCCCTCTTGCTACCTTCTTTGATTACACACAACACCCATCTCCCAGGCCCTCTGTATAAACTGAGGCCTCCCAGCTTTCAGACATCTTTTGGCCTGGCCTTGACTCCCCGACACCACCCCACCCTGCCCAGCAGGGAGCCTGGGTGGCCCCAGGCACTTACTCAGCAAGCTGGAGTTGGGGAAGCGCCAGGCCTCGCTGTAGGAGGAGTAGGGGGTGTGGCTGTAGGCATTGCCAGAGTATTCACTTCCTGTTGGAGGCATACAGGGGAGAGACCTGTGAGGTGGACGGCACCAGTGTGGGGCTGCGGTGGCAGGAAGTCTGCAGAACTAGCACGTTTGAAGAGTGGCAGGGGACAGCTGGAGCCAGAGCAGCGACAATGGAGCTCAGAAAGCCCCTCCAAAAGGCCCTTCCCTTTAGGAAGCCCTCACCTAGGTCATTTGGGGCAGGTTTCTTAGGTACTGTCTTGGCATCCTGCAGCCCTCCCGGGAGGCCCAGGAGGGAGATGTTGTGATTATTCCCATTTTCCGGATAAAGAGACTGAGGTGCTGGGATCTGCAGAAGCTCTCACAGCCAGGGAGTTTGGTAGAGTTTAGAATTCATGTGGTGTCTTTAGGGCCTAGGGTCTAATTGTTGCTCCCTTTGCTGCCTGGGCCTTCTGCAGAAGGGCCTTTCTGGAAGAGTCCCATGGCAGAAGGAGGGAGTTAGCATTCAAAGAGGGAAGTTGTGTATATATAAACTTTTGAGACTTCCTAGATCTGAGTGTGCTGAGTGTGTGTGTGTGTGTGTGTCTGTGTGTGTGTGTGCGTGTGTGTGTGTGTGTGTGTGTGTGTGTGTGTGTGTGTGTGTAGGATAAGGAGAGGTGTGAGGATTAAGGGTAGAAGAGGAGAGAGGGCCCTGGAGGGCACCCACCTTTCCAGGAAGCTGTGTCCTGGAACTTGTTCTAAGGAGTTTGTTGTTCTAGCCTGAGTCTGCCACTTTAAGTCAACTCAGTGCATAAATTACCACAGAGTAAATCAGATGCCTCCTTCTGTTAGTGGATTCTTGGCTTTCCCAAAAGAATTATTTACCAAAGAGATTACTTAAGAATTCTCTAACATAACAACAACAAAGTCAAACTGACCACTGCAGCTGCCATTGGTACTTGGTACCGAGCTTAAAGTTTGCAAAGCACTTTTCCGTATATTATGCCCCTTTATCCGCAACCATTCTACAAAGCACTAATCCATCCTGCCAATTTATAGAAAAGGAAATTGGAGTGCAGCGCGATTAAGTGTTTACCTCAAATCATACTGTTGTTAAAGGGCAGGATAGAACTTGACCTTAGGGCTCTTGACTCTAAATTCCAGATAATCCTTTTATTCACTTATGAGATGATTTTATTTACAAAGCCAGATTCCTGCCAATCCTGAGACCCAATGAATGTCCACATTGCCTTTCAAAAACTCATCTGCAATTTTGAGCTAAGTGTCTTCTGTGATTCCTAGTTTCCTTCCCAGACTCCCTGGAGAGGTGGTTTGAAACTTCCCAGTTCCAGAGCCAGTGTGCCAAATCCCCACCTCTCCATTGACTGTGTACTCTTAGACAAGTCACTTAGCCTCTCTGAGCCTTGACTTTCTCATTTGTAACATGGGGCAAACTATTATCCTTATTTCATGGGGTTTAGTGAGGATAAAATGAGATGATATATATTAAATGCTAAGCACCATGCTTAGAATATAAGAAGAACTCAATAAACGTTTGCTTTCATTGTGAAAGCGAACATTTATTGAGTTCTCCTTATATTCCAAGCATGGTACTTAGCATTTATTAGCTAAAATAAAGCTCAATGGCGACTCAAATCAGTCATCCAACCAGTCTTCAAGCCTAGGTTGGGGTCAATGGGGGCTGCTTCCTTGCCAAAGAAGTAGGCATTTGCACAGGAAGAATGAAATGGAAATGAGGAGGGGGAGCTTGAAGTGGAAAAAGGCTACTGGATCCTGTCCTCCTTTAGGAAGTCAGGGACAGGCAGTAAGTTCATAGTAAGAATACAGGAAGTTCCTTAGGGGTGGGGGCCAAGCACAAAAATGTGGAGAAAAAGAAGGCAGGAAGAGAAAAAGGGAAAAAGCAAAGAAGAAAAAAAGGAAAACTAAGAAAACATTTAATTCAACCATCTAGTTAACAAATGAAGAAACTGCTACCTGGAAAGAGAGACATTTGCCCAAGGCCACGTGTTCGATGAGAATCTGAACTAGAACCCTGGCCACTTGCTCCTACACCAGTGTTCTCTCTTGTATCCCACAGTGTGGACTGCCCCTGTTTACCCCAGATCTCCTGGGTTTCAGTGTTCCTTGGCAGGAAACTGATTCTCCATGGGTGGCACAGCAAGGGCTCCCTTGCCTTTACCCCACCCACCCTGCGCAATGCCAAACACTGCAAGCTTTTAAAGGACAGGCAACAGAGGTGGAAAACAATGTGTTTACCCTCTCATTTAGTTACTCATTCATGCATTCACTCCCTTACCCACTTATTTATGTATTTAACACCCATTTACCAAGTACCTGTCTGCCTCAGTTATATAGAAATTGGGGTAGGAGAGGGGAAAACTGAAGGTGGTACTTCCCAAGTGGGGCATCTTCTCATCACCAGATCTGTCAACCTGCCTGCAGCCACAGCAGATGAAATGTCCCTGCTCCTATGAAGGTCAATCAGTCTCTGCTGTGTATCTCACTCCATTCACCTTTCCAAGGACTTGGCCCCCACAATTATCTTCTTTTTTCTGCTTCAACAATCTCTCCCTTTTTAATTCATCACTCCCTTCAGCCTGCAAACATGCCCTACTATTTTTTTTTAAAACCTTATTTTATTCTAAAGATGTGAGGTACAAGTCAGGATTAGGTACATAAGTGGTTTACAAGCAGGTGAAGTTTGGGCTATCTTCTGTCTTTTAAAAACTGTCTTCCTGGCTGGGCTCTGTGGCTCAGCCTGTAAACCCAGCACTTTGGGAGTCCGAGGTGAGTGGATTGCCTGAGCCCGCGGGTTCGAGACCAGCCTGGGCAGCATGGTGAGACCTCTTCTCCACAATAAATAAAAAATTAGCTGGGCGTGGTAGTGCACGCCTGTAGTTCTGGTTACTTGGAAGGCTGAGGCAGAAGGATTGCCAGAGCCCAGCAGGTCAACACTGGGGTGGCAGTGAGTGTGCCACTGCACACTCCAGCCTAGGTAACAGAGTGAGACTCCAACTCATAAAATAAAACAAACCCTCTTCCTACCCACATTCCTCTCTAGTGGTCAGCCCCTTTCTCTGCTCCTGGTATCTGCCCTCACCTTCTTGTCCTTTCCAACCAGGCCAACACTGATCCTCTCAAATTCCCACAACCTCTAACCTGCTCATTCCAATGGTCACTTCTGCATCCACAGTTCCCTTGACCTCTTATGCCTTTGGGTTTGTGATGTTCAGACTCTTGGTTTGCTTTATAACTCACTTGTCTTCCTTGCTCATTCTGCTTGCTGGTTCCTTCGCTGTTAGAGCTCTAAATTATGCTGAAGAACCTGAGGCTTGGTTGGTGAGCTGTCTGTGAATTTCCAGCCACATTTTCTTTCTAGTGATCTTGTCTAATCCTTTGGCATTAAATAATAGCTTTGTACATGGCTGAAGTTTATACTGTAGACAGGATTCTTTCCTGACTTCAGACATATATCATGCGCCTACTGACTTATTAAAACTAGGTATTTAGTAGGCATCTCAGTCTTATGACAGCCTAATAAAACTCCTGATTTCTACCTTCCACCTGCCACATTTCTTCCTCTCCTGGTCTTCTATATGTATACTTGCCACCATCATCCATGCAGCTTCTTAAAGGCCATAACCTACAAGTGATCC